GTTTTCTCGACCACTTGATTCAAAGCACTGGTAAGACCTCATCTGGAATACTATTTACAATGCTGGTCACCCACGTTGAAGAATGATGAATTCAAACTGGAACAGGTGAAGAAAGTGCTACTAGGAAGATCAAGATAATGGAGGACATAGCAATGAGTGGAGACTAAAAGAACTTAGCCTATGTTTTTTGCTAGGCTAAACAAGCCAACAGGGGATATGAGTACGCTCAGTAAATAGATCGGCGGTAAACAGCAGCATGGGAGAAAAGCTATTTAAGCTAAATGGCAATGTTGGCACAATGGATATAAAGTAACAATTATTACATTTAGGCTGGAAATTAGGTTTTTAGCCATCAGGAGTGGAAGTCTGGAACACAATTATAAAATGGGGTTACTTGTGGTAGCAAGGCACTGGACTTGATGACCGGCTCTTCCAGTCCTATGTCCTTTTAGTATGCCTGCAAGAAACATAACAGCCATGGGCTTTGGAACAATGATTCAACACTACAGACCTGTTATACCACAGGTTTATCTCCATTACAGTCCAGGAAATTAGAAGAGGGCTGAATTTGATCCTCCTTCTGGAGTATAATGCAGTGAAGAAATAGGCTAAAATTGCTCCCCTTCTAAAAAAGCACAGATGAGCCTGCTCGTGAAGGGTGAAGGAGCTTGGGTAAGTGCGTACATGCATTATTCCTTGAAATGTGTTTTTTGCTTTTCCTTTCCCTCAAACCTCACCTCTCTCCCCGCCACCAAGCCACCTTTGTTTCCCATTTAAAAATGGCACCTGGCCCACCTCCAAATTAAGGCAAAGGCATTGACTCTTCTTTGCTTTACTGGTATAGTGTTAGAAAATAACAGGTTAGGGAACAAGTTCTAAAAAGGGCTGTATGGCAATCCAGTTACACAACCCACATCAGAACAGTGTCCTTTGCTCAGCCAGAGGTAATAAAACAAAGGTAGAGTCAGCAGGGATAGCTCAGTGGTTTGAGCATTGGCCTGCTAAACCCAGGGTTGTGAGTTTAATCCTTGAGGGGGCCATTTAGGGATCTGGGGCAAAAATCTGTCTATGGATTGGTCCTGCTTTGGGTAGAGGATTGGACTAGATGACCTCCTGAGGTCCCTTCCAACCCTGATATTCTATTATTCCTTTCTTTGAGTGTTCAAATTTCCTTTCTTTGGCTTGTGTGGCTAGGTGTGGTGCTGCTCTATCAATGTCAGCAGCAACCTGGCATTTCCCCCCCTCACTATATACACATCAGCATTCAGTTAGCATGTAAGAATTGTGTTGAGCTCAAGAGGGTCCAGGTTTCTGTCAGAGAAATGATGGCAAAGCACCGCATGGAACGGAGGGAGTTTTCAAAAAACAATGCGAAAATTATGAGATGTGGAAAGTATGATGGGATGAAGAAAGTGGCATGGTGTGACCTTGACCCCTATCTTTAAGAAATCCTGAGACAAATTACGGCTATACCACAAAGCACTCAAAAATATCACAAAAGGTATTGTGCCAGACAGTGACATGAGGCACACTGGGCTATCGACTTGTGTTGCACCTAACTTTACACCGACACAAGCACTCCCAGTAAGTATGCACCGCACCAAAGCCAACAGCCAAGCATGCACACTCCCGAGCAACATACAAACTCTGGTGGCTGTTCACAGATGTTACTTGTGCCAACCAAATTTCATCATGCAGATACAGCCTTAGTTACATAGAAAACAAGGCTTATGCTCTCCAAGACAGTCAGTCACACTCCGGCAAAAGGGAAAGGTTCTGGAAAGTCAACCTTAAGGAAGAGATCCCACTGCTTATTGAACCGGAGATGCATGCAAGAACCCCTGCTGCTGGTGGGAGAGAGAAAGGATGCTACCTGACCACCTCTGTGTAGTCTCTGTTGTCGCCTCTGAAAGAAGAATAGGTTTCAAGGAACCTCCCTGCCCCGCCTTGCTGAAGGACACAAGGCCTGGTGACAAAAGCCACCTCATGCTTCTTTTCTGTGCAGGTCTCTCCTTTCTATGTCAGTTGGTCTCCTCTGTTACCTCTTATTCAAGACCAGGCTGCCGCACTAAAGTCCAAGTTACCACCCGGCACCCACTGGCAGAAGAGGTTGGTCTACATTCAGTCTCTATAAACATCTCCAAGTACCTCAAGACTGGGTCACAATCCCGTTTGAATACCATTGGGTTACAGATCTTTCATGGAGACTAACACTGCTTTGTAGAATATTCTCACTCTGTATTTACACTTCTCCATTTGCCTGTATTTTACATATGTCAGCATTTTACATGTTCATAGCACTGTGCAAACTAATCGTAAGTAGCACTACCATACAAAAATCCCAAGTGGACATTGGCTTGCCTCCAGTTACATGCAGGATTCCTGTACACACACAGCAATGAAATCCATACTCTGCATACACAAAATTGTGAAAATCTGTGAAAGCAAATTGGAATGGGCAACCTCTTTCAAGCCAAAATAATTGAGCTGTTCCTAGGTGTGTCTCTTGTGCTATCTTCTAAATAACCCCCCAAATATGAACTAAACTCAGAATTACTTTAAAGATTTTTTTAATAAAATATATTTTTAAATGGGCAAGCTAGTGCCCTCTTTAAAAAAGTAGTTTAGAGTAGATTACAGGTTTAAATATTTTAAGATTGAACAGATCATCTCGTATATCATTTTTTACCTTTTTCAGGTGACAGATGCTGCACGTTAACAACCTACCACCATTCAAAGTTGAAAAATGAACAAAGTTCTAGACACCAAAATAAAAACCTATCCAGTAACTATGAAAAAAGCATACAAACTGCACTGATACTGAATATGCATCTGTGCCTCCTCCCACCTATAATGCTATTATAAAAGGCAAATTCTAATGTGAGGTTTCTTTATCTTCACTCACAAAAATCTTTAAATCTCACTACAAGTACTTTTAATGTAAACACATCTATAACACTTAGGACAATGCTGTAATGAAGACAAATATATTCTCATCTACATTAGCCTCAAGAAGCTGGAGAGCACATTGGCTGTGAGTAGGGGACCAATTCTCATGTACACCAAGGAGATCCAAGAATAAGTCTCATGAAATTAATGAAATTAAGCTGGCGTAAGTGAGAGGAAATGAAGCACTATTCCATAAGGTCTCCTCTTTCTAGATGGCATGGGATCTAATGTCAACTATTAAACTGGACCAGTGAACTCTCTAGCTATATATAATTCTTACTGAAAAAGACAGAATATGTTGTGACCTGTGAAACTACATAAATAGAAAGTGGTTCCATCTGTTTATTGCTTTTCACAACCTGAATTCCATTATTGTTTCAGGAATGGTCAAGTCCACATAGGGGTATTCCACATAATATTTACTACTACAGAGAAAAAAGTTTTATCACAACTGACAAAGTTGGTTGGACTACAGTTTAAGCCCACATTAAAGCATTTTGTAGAGCTGATGATAAATGGAAAACCTCAAAGGACGTTACTGATTGCTTTAATAATACTTTCATTCTATTAAGTTCACATTTTCATATTCTTAAGTCATAACAGTGTGAAGTCCTGGTGAACTAACAGTTGATGTATAACAAAACGTTTGTGTAACAGCGCTTTGAAAGACTTCAGTGTACTACTGTCCATATGCACATTTTGAACTTTCCCAAACCCTTTCATATTTCAGTAATATTGAATGGAGTTAAGGTCGCTTGCTTTCATCTTAACTATAAGGGGATAATAATCAACATGTTATATTAAACGAAACACTATCTGTAAAAACTCTTTACATATCAGTAATTTTTCAAGTAAACAGTTTGATCTATACTTAAAAGCATACAAAAACATGGATTAGAAATTTATTGCTGTTACAAAAATTAGTTTGTTCCAAGTTACGAGGAGGAAGTTAGATTAATATTATTGCTGTTGCACAAATGGAGCCCTGAACACACAGAGCGTGATTTCTAATCATTCACTTTAGGGGATGTGTGGGTGCTTAGGAAAGATCAGGCTCAGAGCCACTATCTTCAACGTTACACTTTGTAAACTGGCATTGTTTTATTGTCTCTCCACAACCATAGCCAGTGCAACTTCTGCGTTCATACACAATCATCCATTAGACCTACTCTTCATGGCAAGTATGAATACTATAGTCCATTCCATGTCCTATTTTCTTGATGCAATTTAACCTGACGCTAATTTTAAAAATATGCCTAGTGTATCTTTCCATATGATAAGGAACTAATAGGAAGGTTTGTCACCTGGAAAGTCAAAGGGATTCCTGTAATTCATATAATTATATTTCACCTGTTCACTTCTATTAACTTTCTGGTAAGATTTCACATTCAAATAAAGCATTTTTCACTCGCTCTGAGTAACAGACAGCACTCAAAAATCAAGCAATCCAATAACCACAACTGTGTTATTTGCACAATAAAATGAAACAGTTCAGACTTGCTCACAAATCTGCAATCCCGCTTTCTTTCAATTGCATTGATTTCTGGTCATTAGAAAGTACATTTATACAGGAATTTTTAAAAGCAATCTGCACTTAGAAGACATTGTACAGTGCTAGTAGATCACACTACTTCCTCAAAGGCAATTTCTTCTTCATAAGTTATTTGTGCACACAGAATTGCCAGTTTATTAGGTGGTCTGCAAAGCAAACAATTCCACTCTCTCCCTTCCAATTAAGAAGCATACACCATATTCACAACATAAAAGGGCCACTATCAACTTAAACTATATTTGAATCTGAATTTTTATTTTACATAGTACTGTTGCAAGTTAATACCTACTGTACCATGAAGGAGATTAAATAAAATCTTTCCGTTCTTTTACTTTGTCTGTAGTCAGTTTCACTCCGACTACTACATAGTAAGTTTCCATTTCGTTTGTGGGTCTTTCACTCAGCAGCAAGGACTAAAACATTTGTATAAAATAGCAAAAGGGCAGGTGTAGCCCAAACACTACTTTTTAACTCCCTCCCTAAAAAGGACTGGAATTCATGTTGATGCTGTTCCTGCAACAGTGATGCTTAAACCTTTTTGTGACCCAACCACATTATGACCAGGTGTTTGGGAGCCAGAAATGGGAAAGAGAAGAGTTTGGCCTCAGGTTAGATATCTACTGTAGGCTAAATCTGGTTATAACATGGTCAGGCCCAAATGTGTCAAGTGTTTAAGTGGCCAGCATTCTAATCCTAAAGCATTCACACCGGTCAATGATTTAAATACCAGGCATGATTAGATGTGGCATTAATGAACTTACTGTTCAGCTCCACTGACACATCCGTTTTGCCCTTTCCTGCTCCCTGCCCCCTCAGGGAGGTATCAGCACAGAAAGGGAATAGCCTAAATATCTGTGGAAGGTTATACAAGTGGATGATCTACCAAAGAATAGTGAACCTACAAGCAACAAAGCAAGTTCTCTTACGAACACACCCCTTTGCTTTTCTTTGTATGCACAGAGGAATCATGTACTGACAAATGGACCCACAAAGGCAACACCACTTCAGTGGGAACAATTCTTCTCCCCCCAGATTAGGCAACACACACCTAGGTCTGTGAGTGCCCTTCACATATAAAACCCTTAAATTTTCTGTTTTCCTTCAGATAGCTTAAAACATGACATTTTAAATGAATCTCTCTAAACTCAAAACTGTATTGATAATTACCCACAAAAAGTGTGCAAGGTAAAAACCTGGACTCAAAATAAATAAAAAAAATACAACAAATTCAACTTGACATTAAAAAGCAACAGAAATACAAGGAAGAGAGATTCTTCAAAGTCTTTGTGGGATGAGAGCACTGAAAGGGCCATTGCTAGCAAGGCTGCAGGAACCTCTAATCCAGTCTGTGCTCTCAGCTCCAGTCATTAGCTTGGTTTTTTGCAGAATTCACACTGTATTCCTCCACTGAGATCTTTCACAATCCCATCTTTGATCAGTTTTTGTAGGAATTTTGTTTCAGTTGTCACATTATGCATAGTTTGTCCTTCCATTGCAGCCATGCAGAGATTGTCATAGTAGTGCAAAGGTGTGTTCGGTTGGCGGAGGTCATATCCAAATCCTGCTAAACTCACTTCATCACATAAATGTGTGGCCAGAACAACTGCAGTGACCCCAATTGTGGGAACATTCTAAAAAGAAAAATAAACATTTACAATACAACATCTCTCTCCTTTATCAGTTTTCAGAGTCATAGAAATGTAGGGGTGGAAGGGACCTCTAAAGGTCATGTGGACCATCACCCTGCGCTGAGGCAAGACCAAGTATAGCTAGACCATCCCTGCTGTGTTTGTCTAACCTATTCTTAAAAACCTCCAATGACAGGGATACCAAAACCTCCCTTGGAAGCCTCTTCCAGTACTTATTTATCCTTATAGGTAGAAAAATTTTCCTAACATCTAACCTAAATCTTCCTTGCTGCAGCTTAAGTCAATTACTTTTTGTATGGTGTCAAGTATCAGAGGGTAGCCGTGTTAGTCTGTATCTACAAAAACAACAAGGAGTCTGGTGGCACCTTAAAGACTAACAGATTTATTTGGGCATAAGCTTTCGTGGGTAAAAACCTCACTTCTTCAGATGCATAGAGTGAAAGTTACAGATGCAGGCATTATATACTGACACATGGAGAGCAGGGAGTTACTTCGCAAGTGGAGAACCAGTGTTGACAGGGCCAATTCAATCAGGGTGGATGTAGTCCACTCCCAATAATAGATAAGGAGGTGTCAATTCCAGGAGAGGAAAAGCTGCTTCTGTAATGAAGCAAATACCCACCAGCAACTACACACCACACCACAGAAACACCAACCCAGGAACCAATCCCTGTAGCAAACCTCGTTGCCTACTCTGTCCCCGTATCTACTCTGGCGACACCATCAGAGGACCCAACCACATCAGCCACACCATCAAGGGCTCATTCACAGACACATCCACTAAATGTTATATATGCCATCATGTGCCAGCAATGCCCCTCTGCCATGTACATTGGCCAAACCGGACAGTCCCTCCGCAAAAGAATAAATGGACACAAATCGGACATCAGGAATGGTAACATACATAAGCCAGTAAGTGAACACTTCAATCTCCCTGGTCATTCTATTACAGATTTAAAAGTCACTATCATTGAACAAAAAAACTTCAGAAACAGACTTCAAAGAGAAACAGCAGAACTAAAATTCATTTGCAAATTTAACACCATTAATCTGGGCTTGAATAGGGACTGGGAGTGGCTGGCTCATTACAGAAGCAGCTTTTCCTCTCCTGGAATTGACACCTCCTCATCTATTATTGGGAGTGGACTACATCCACCCTGATTGAATTGGCCCTGTCAACACTGGTTCTCCACTTGCGAAGTAACTCCCTGCTCTCCATGTGTCAGTATATAATGCCTGCATCTGTAACTTTCACTCTATGCATCTGAAGAAGTGAGGTTTTTACCCACGAAAGCTTATGCTCAAATAAATCCGTTAGTCTTTAAGGTGCCACCAGACTCCTTGTTACTTTTTGTATGGACATGGAAAACAACTGATCACTGTCCTCTTTAAAACAGTCCTCTATAACAGCTCATTACAACATGTTTGAAGACTTCTTTTCTCAAGACTAAACATGCCCCCCCCCCTTTTTTTTTAAACCTTCCTCATAGATCAGGTTTTCCAAACTTTGTATCATTTTTGTTGATTCCTCATATCTTTTTATGAAGTTCTACCACCTACCCAGTTATTCCCCATTTTGTAGTTGTGAATTTGATTTATTTATTTTTTTTCATCCTTGGAGTAGTAATTTGCACTTGTCTTTATTGAATTTAATCTTACTGATCTTAGACCACTTTTCCAATTTGTCAAAGTCTTTCTGAATTCTAATACTGTCCTCTAAAGTGCTAGCAACCCCTCCCATCTTGGTGTCATCCACAAATTTTAGACGCACATTCTCCACTCCATTATCCAAGTCATCAGTGGAAAATATTGAACAGTACAAGGCCCAGTGTAGGCCTTGCATCAACAATGAAAGAAAACAGAAGTTAATGAATGAAGCATGAATCCATAACTTAAATGTATACTCCAAATTAAAAAACATAGTAAGAACCAAAAAAGTGCCACTGTGGCTAAACAACAAAGTAAAAGAAGCAGTGAGAGGCAAAAAGGCATCCTTTAAAAAGTGGAAGTTAAATCCTAGTGAGGAAAATAGAAAGGAGCATAAACTCTGGCAAATGAAGTGAAAAAATATAATTAGGAAGGCCAAAAAAGAATTTGAACAGCTAGCCAATGACTCAAAGTAATAGCAAAAAAAAAATTTAAGTACATCAGAAACAGGAAGCCTGCTAAACAACCAGTGGGACCACTGGATGATTGAGATGCTAAAGGAGCACTCAAGGACGATAAGGCCATTGCAGAGAAACTAAATGAATTCTTTGCATTGGTCTTCACGGCTGAGGATGTGAGGGAGATTCCCAAACCTGAGCCATTCTTTTTATGTGACAAATCTGAGGAACTGTCTAACCCAGACTTAGGTGTCATTAGAGGAGGTTTTAGAACAAATTGATAAACTAAACAGTAATAAGTCATCAGGACCAGATGGTAGTCACCCAAGAGTTCTGAAGGAACTCAAATGTGAAATTGCAGAACTACTAACTGTAATCTGTAACCTATCATTTCAATCAGCTTCTGTACCAAATGACTGGAGAATAGCTAATGTGACATCAATTTTTAAAAAGGATTCCAGAGGTGATCCTGGCAATTACAGGACAGTAAGCCTGACTTCAATATTGGGCAAACCATAGTAAAGAACAAAATTGTCAGACACACAGATAAACATAATTTGTTGGGGAAGAGTCAACATGGCTTTGGAAAGGGAAATCATGCCTCACCAATCTACTAGAATTCTTTGAAGGGGGTCAACAAGCATGTGGACAAGGGGGATCCAGTGGATTATAGTGTACTTAGATTTTCAGAAAGCCTTTGACAAGGACCCTCACCAAAGGCTCTTAAGCAAAGTAAGCTATCATGGGATAAGAGGGAAGGTCCTCTCATGGACTGGTAACTGGTTAAAAGATAAGAAGCGAAGGGTAGGAATAAATAGTCAGTTTTCAGAATGGAGAGCAGTAAATAGTGGTGTCCCCCAGGGGTCTGGACTGGGCCTAGTCCTATTAAACTTATTCATAAATGGTCTGGAAAAAGGGGTAAACAGGAGGTGGCAAAATTTGCAGATGATCCAAAACTACTCAAGATAGTTAAGTCCCAGGCAGACCGTGAAGAGCTACAAAAGGATCTCTCAAAACTGGGTGACTGGGCAACAAAATAGCAGATGAAATTCAATGTTGATAAATGTAAAGTAATGCACATTGGAAAACATAATCCCAACTATACATATAAAATGATGTGGTCTAAATTAGCTGTTACCACTCAAGAAAGAGATCTTGGAGTCATTGTGGATAGTTCTCTGAAAACATCCACTCAATGTGCAGTGGCAATCAAAAAAGCAAACAGAATGTTGGGCATTATTAGGAAAGGGATAGATAAGACAGAAAATATCATATTGCCACTATATAAATCCATGGTATGCTCACATTTTGAATACTGTGTACATATGTCGTCCCCTCATTTCAAAAAGATATACTGAAACTGGAAAAGTTACAGAAATGGGCAACAAAAATTATTAGGGGTAGGGAACGGCTTCCGTATGAGAAGAGAATAATAAGACTGGGACTTTTCAGCTTGGAAAAGAGACGACTAAGGGGGGATATGATTGAGGTCTATAAAATCATGACTGGTGTGGAGAAAGTAAATAAGGAAGTGTTATTTACTCCTCATAAAACACAAGAACTGGGGGTCACCAAATGAAATTAATAGGCAGCAGGGTTAAAACAAACGAAAGTATTTCTTTACACAACGCACAGTCAACCTGTGGAACTTTTTGCCAGAGTATGTTGTGAAGACCAAGACTGTAACAGGGTTCAAAAAAGAACTAGATAAATTCATGGAGGATAGGGTCCATGAATGGCTATTAGCCAGGATGGGCAGGGATAGTATCCCCAGCTTCTGTTTGCCAGAAGCTGGGAATGAGCAACAGGGAACGGATCACTTGATGATTACCTGTTCTATTCATTCCCTCGCGGGCACTTGGCATTGGCCACTGTCGGAAGACAGGATACTGGGCTAGATGGACCTTTGGTCTGACCCAGTATGACCGTTCTTATGTTCTATAGCTCCCACTCCAGCTTTACAGCTGACCATTGATAGCTACTCTGAGTAGTCTTTCAATCAGCTGTGCACCCAGCTTATAATGTCATCTAGCCCACATTTTCTTAGTTTGCTTATGAGAATGTGATGTGTCAAAAGCCTTGCTAAAAATCAAGATATATCACATCTACAGCTTCTCCCATATCCACAAAGCCAGTTATCCTGCCAAGGAAGGATATTAGGTTGGGGTTTGGCATGATGTATTCTTGATAAATCCATGCTTATTACTTATTACCCTACTATCCTTCAGGTGCTTACAAACTGATTGCTTAATAACTGCTATTTTAACCCAAGTGAGCTACCCAAGTGAAGAACTCACCTATTCTTACAGTGTAGACATATTCTTAGGCAAAATCTTCCTCAGCAAAAAAGGGACACACAAATGATTCAAAAAGCCTTAAATTCTCAATGCTTAAATGCAGTGCATGGCCTACCACAGGTACATGGTATCGAGAAGATCTGCATCCCTAATGCATTTCACAGAAGTACTTTCTTTTTAAAACTTTGGGGTATTTAAAAAAAAAAAAAAAAAAAAAATCACATGCAGGTCACCTTACGTGAACATAAACAAGCCTAACCCCTAAATTAAAAACTAAAATGGCCCTAGATTTTGTACTTTTTCTATGATTAATGAGAACACTGAACCCCACTATTTTACAAATATTTAATAGGGAATGTTAAAGAAAATACAAATAGTGTTTGAGAAGAGAAGACTTTGGTGTTTTACAATGACTGAGAAATTGCACAAAGAGACTACACTGAATGAAAAGTCCAAACTCTTTTTTATTTGATCTTGTCGTATTAGATTTCGAAGGAGTTAAATGTATCTATCCAGCACCTTCCAAAAAAGGTATCTTACCTTATCCCAGCCCCAAAATTTAGATCGAGGCTCAGGGTACTGTAGTATATCCAAGGCAGTCTCTTTAATGATGATCGGATTTAAAATACGAAACTGTTTTGGTGTTACAGGAATTTTCTCAGCCACCTGCTTCCAAAAAAATAGTCGCACCCATAGTGGCTAAAGAGAAAAAAAAATCAATTAAACACAGGGAAACAAATACTTTGACATGGCAAATTGATACTGGGGCCTAGCATGTAACTCAATATTATTAAAACATAAGATTTTCCACATCTCATCAGAAATTATTTATGGCAAAGACTTACTAGGACGTTGATGTAGAATTTCCAAATGCCTGAATTCTTTTAAACAAATAATACTTAAGTTGAGAGAAAGAGAAAATGCAATTCTTTATCTGTTTAGTTCATTTACTTTGAACATGTGACTGCACTTCCGTGGACAGTCATTCACCCATCCACCCACCCCTCTTGCCTCTATTTGGGCTTTCCCACAGCAACACGGTAGAGAAAGCATTTGAAAAGAGAGGAAGAACATGATCAAAATTCCACAACAGTTGGCTGAGTGACTCGCAAACAGGTGTAGGACCTGAAACTATTTTACTCACATTTTCAAATTAACTGTATTTCTAGCTGACAGCGTACATTTAAAGACAAGTGTTGTAGGATGGAAGGAGAGAAGAGCAATGAGACTCAGCACGCCCGATTCTGATCTCATGCCAGAATATGTCAGAATGTTAAAGAAGTCAATGGATGTGCACTGGTGCTAAACTGGTGAAAGATCAGAATCAGGCTCATTTTATGTTTCTCTCCATAAATTGTGTAATAGTGAGCAAATAAGAAAAGTGATGCAAGAAGAGGGTGCCTTTTCTGTACATTGGACACATTCTTTCCCAAAAAATCCCTATGAAAAATATTTGTTATATCTATTGCTGTAATATGACTTCTCTTCTGATATTACAAAAATACAGGGACTTTTAATTATTAGAATATACTATATGCAGTTTTAAGCCCATAAAACGACACTAGAGCCACCAAAGTCAGTCAAATATCCAGTTCAGATCAGAGGGTGCATTCGATAGTTGTTAACATAATGCTGCTATGTGAAATTGTGCATTTTTTTCTGAAAGGTGTGCTTGTGTTCTATAAAACTACACATTGCTTGGGCCCAATAGATCACTCAGTGATAGTTCCTCAAAGTTCCACAAATATAATACGTTTGGCCTGTTAACTCTAAAAATCAATAGTCACTCAGTGTGATATCACCAATATTTAAATTCAAAGGATAATTTAAGGATAATTTCTTCATTAGTGTCACTTGTATTATATATAAAGCATTTTTATATATATTATATATAAAGCAGAACATATAATGCCAAGCACTGTAATAAAACAGTATATTCTACCTAAATGCATGCGCAAAGTCATAGGTAGTCATGGTCAATTCTGCAAGTCTAAAAGCCTTACATAAACTAGTTCAGGTTGCAAAACCATAGAATTTAACCTTCCTTTGCTTTATCTATAATATTTATCATAATATAATATTATGTGCACAAACTGCTAAATATTGTGACAGATTTTCTATTAAATATATCACTATTGAATAATTTATGGCATTTCATGTTTGCATAATAACTCTAATCAATGAAATACAATACTTCAGGTGTCTCTTGCATATAGATCTATTTCTTTAAATATATATTAAGCAACAAATGAATCTTCATACAGAAATTGAAAGGCAGTAACCAATGCCAGCTAATACCAACTAGTGACATTTTTATTTAATTATATCTATTACACATGACACAAACATCCCTACACGAGCATGATGTGGTTTAGCGGTTAAGGAAGGGGACTGGCAGTCAGAACACTTGTTTTCTGTTCCTGCCTCTACAACCTTAACCAAGTCACTTAAACCAAATACAAAATGAACTATACTTTACTGAGCACATAAGGTATTTTGATGTTTAGTGCGTGTAAAGGATCAAGACACTTGGATGAAAGGCATCAGTGTGAGCATACAGTACTACATGGATGTACTAACATGAACAATAACTAGAAGTATTGCAACAAATAGATTGCTTGCAAGGTGGATAAAAAAGCACAAAAATTTGATTTATTTTAATTCAATTTTTTTAGAAGATATATTTCAAATTAAATTTGAAATGATGCTATGTTAAGGCCTAAATTTATTAAAATATATTACAATAATTTAAATATTAAAATAATATTCAAACAGTATATGTTTGCTGCCAGAAAAGTTAAACCACTGAACTAATTGAACTCATTGGCTATGAACCTAGAACCAGGGTTTGTTGAAGTGTTACACCAGCTTTTGACAGATCTAGCCCCTACTGCAGGTGCAAAGAAAATATTTTCTTCATTTCAGTTTATTCAAGTAGTTCAGTACAATGATTAATTCATTCAAAGTTGTGAAACCATCTGGAAGCTTAAAAAGCAGAAAACTTGTTTTCCTCTTTTAATCTATCAATAAACACGAGGGGACAGGACGAGATCTACCAGTTATAAAATCTTGATGGACATGACAACCAGAAAGAAATCAGTTCAATTAACTACAGATAATGCTATCGTTGTTTAATAAATCAATTGGTTTTAAATGCAAAAAAATTTGATATACTTTTTTTCTTATGTATCTAGCATATTTTAGGTAGTTTTAACAAAAACAATTTTAAAATGCTATTTTTTGTGCATTTTTCATTAAATTCCAATTTCCATCCAAATAATACCAATAATAATATGACAACCACTTAGTCCTTATATAGAGCCTCTCATGTTTTATATCTCAAAACACTTTACAAAAGAGGTCACAGTATTACTATCCCTATTTTATAAATGAGAAAATTAAGGGACATGGAGAAGTGACCTACCAGGGTCACACAGGCCAGTGGAAGAGCCAGGAATTAAACCCACATCTCCTGAGTCCCAGTTCAGTTCTCTAGCCACTAAGCCACACTATCTCCTATATAATGCAGCTAGAAAAGTCACTGCTAAAAAAATTAATCAATCTAGTACATAAATGTGTCATTCAGCATTTTCTAACAAAAATATAAAAATTAAGAATCAGACTTAATCTATGTTAAGCTATGTAACTGCTTAAACGCATGCAAGTCATAGAAACATAGGACTGGAAGGGACCTCGAGAAGTCCAGTCCCCTGCACTCATAGCAGGACTAAGTATTGTCTAGACCAGGGATCGGCAACCTTTGGCCTGCGGCCCGCCAGGGTAAGCCCCCTGGCGGGCCGGGCCAGTTTGTTTACCTGCCGCATCCACAAGTTCGGCTGATCGCGGCTCCCACTGGCCGCGGTTCACCACTCCAGGCCAATGGGGGTGGTGGGAAGCAGCGGCCAGCATATCCCTCGGCCCACGCCACTTCCCACAGCCCCCATTGGCCTGGAGCGGCGAACCACAGCCAGTGGGAGCCGCGATCAGCCAAACCTGCAGATGCAGCAGGTAAACAAACCGGCCCGGCCCGCCAGGGTGCTTACCCTGGCAAGCTGCATGCCAAAGGTTGCCAATCCCTGTTCTAGACCATCCCTGACAGGTGTTTGTCCAACCTGCTCTTAAAAATCTCCAATGATGGAGATTCCACAACATCCCTAGGCAATTTATTCCAGTGCTTAACCACCGACAGTTTGGAAGTTTTTCCTAATGTCCAACCTAAACTACCCTTGCTGCAATTTAAGCCTATTGCTTCTTGTCCTATCCTCAGAGGTTAAGGAGAACAAATTTTCATCCGCCTCCTTATAACAACATTTTACGTACTTGAAAACTGTTATCATATCCCCCCCCCACTCTTCTCTTTTCCAGACTAAACAAACCCCATTTCTTCAATCTTCCCTCACAGGTCATGTTTTCTAAACCTTTAATCAGTTTTGTTGCTCTCCTCTAGGCTTTCTCCAATTTGTCCACATCCTTCCTGAAATGTGTCGCACAGGACTGGACACAATACTCCAATTGAGGCCTACTCAGAGTGGAGCAGAGCGGAAGAATTACTTCTCGTACAACACGCCTGCTATGACCCCCCAATTTCTTTCTGCAATACTCCTTCCTAGGCAGTCATTTTCCATTTTGTATGCGTGCAACTGATTGTTCCTTCTTAAGTGGAGTACTTTGCATTTGTCCTTATTGAATTTCATCCTATTTACTTCAGACCATTTCTCCAGTTTGTCCAGATCATTTTGAATTTTAATCCTATCCTCCAAAGCACTTGCAACCATCCCAGTTTGGTATCATCCGCAAACTTTATAAGTGTACTCTCTGTGCTATTAAATATTGTGTACCCTCCTGGTTAGCAAAAAGTAGTACCAGGTTATACCAACCAATGAGAATCAACCTTTCTTTAGAAAAATCATTCAAAAGTACAAATGCAAAACAGGATTAAAACTGAATATTTAAATCAAAGTTTCCTGCTTGCTGATTTAAAACAATCCACCCTGACTGCTTGTGAAAAATTCAATACAGTAAAATAGCGACAGGACTGGAAAGTCAGTTTTCTGTGCATCAGAAAACCAAGGTACGCAGGCAATAAGTCAACTGTTTATACCTACCAATGCTTCATTTTTTACCATTGCTTGAAGCCAATTGAAATCGACACTTTTAAATAAGACAACAACAAACAAGCTCTGAGGGTTATATTCATTTTCAGAAAGTGGGGCTCCCTCTGGATAGGTCATCCTTATGGTAGTTTTGTTACCAACATGATCTGTGTAGCCCTGAACTGGTGCATCATTTAATCTAAAAAAAGTGAAACAAAACACAATAAGTAAACATGGTATCTGATGTCATTAAAATACCATACAAGTGACTTTAAATACCTAAGTAACACGTTTTAGTTGGCTCACCAAATTTTATTTGAATACATCAATAAATTACTCCCCTGGTAACAAGAACAAACCTCAATGGGTGGCCTCGCTCTGAAAAGCAACTGTACAAATACTATTGCAGTGTTCATGTTTCTTGTTGCCCTATAACTCAACTAGGGCTCTGAGGGGCAAACAGCAAGCTTCCTGCATATCACCACCAGTAATAAAAGGCTCTTCAAGTCAAAATTACCCATTTAATGACATCTCAGGAATCCCAATGTCCTATACGGGTTTGCACAATTCTAACTGACTGGAATTTAGGCGACAAGGTGGATGAGGTATTATCGTTTATTGTACCAGCTGTTGGTGAGAGAGACAAGTTTTCAAGTTTAAACAGAGCTCTTCTGCAGGTCTGGGAAATTAACTCAGGCCATGTGTACACTACAAAATTAAATTGACCTAACGTACGTCGGCATACAGCTGCCGCACTAATTACACTGCTTGTGTATATCTATACTTTGCTCCTTGTGCCAGCAGTGTGCCCCCTCACGGGGAGTGCTTTTATCGATTGTACTGTCAGTGTGGGGCGTTGTGGGATGGCTCCTGAAAGCCAGGAACAGTCAACATACACAAAACAGTGTCTACACTGACACTGCTTCGACCTAACTACATCGACCTTGACTCTACGCCACTCTGGAGGTGGAGTTAAGTCAGCGTAGCAGGGCAGTTACAGTGACAGGAGCAAAACTGAAGTGTAGACATTTCTATAGTTACATTGACTTAAGCTGCCGTGTGTTGACCTAACTCTGTAGTGTAGACTAAGGCTACGTCTACAAAATGCGCCTTTTAGCAACACAGCTGTGCCACTACAGCCATGCCACTAAAAGGTGCGCAGTGTAGCCGCTCTTTGTCAGCGGGAGAGAGCTCTCCCGCCGACTAAATAAATCTGCTCCCAACGAGAGGCGGTAGCACTGTCCACACTGGCGCTTTTTGTCGGTAACACTTTTGTAATTCTCGGGTGTTTGGTTTTTTCACACCCGTGAACGACCAGTTTTACCAATGAAAGTGCAGTGTAGACAAAGCCTTAACATCCGAGTGTCACTGTTAAATGCAAGATGGAACAGATAGTTTAGCATAAGAAGTTAACACATATTTCAAGGGACTATTCAAGGCAAAGTGGCCCGTTAACACCTTTCCAGTCAGAGGGAGGAAAAGGCAGGAGAAGCAGCTGGGAAGAGGGCTATTAGTGGGTTATAGATGGCTGTAATAAGACATAAATCCAATGTCTCTATTCAGTCCGTAATTTTTAGTGTCTTGCAAATCTATTGGTGACAAGAAAAAGTAGTATCTCTGCAGGGCTAACGAGGGTAAAAAGCAGTCAAGACTTACTTTTGTCACTAAAATGAGCAAGCAGTCTATATTTTACATTCCACTTGTCATCTTTTAATTCCAATGAGTATTTAATATGTCCTCTAGCGAGCCCATATTATTCTTTGCCCATCTCATCACTCCCAAACCTTTTCTCTTTTCTTTCTTTTAATTGGAACCTCAGAATTTTCATTTAAAGAAGACAGTGGTTTATTTCATTTTTATTGACTGTTTATTATGCTTCTGTTATACTATGTGTCTTCCAGAGTGTGTCAACGAGGCAGGTGCATTGAAAATAAAGCTATGTATCACAGCTCTGAAACAGAATACTTTCTAACACTAACAGATCCACTTACCCTTTCACCTGGAACACTTAATACTCAAAAAGCAAGATAACTGATCAACTCCCCATGATAACCAGAAGATGGCACAGGTAATTTCAAGAGCCTACATTAGAATGATCAGACATCTTTTTACTTTAGGAATTTATGTAGTACCAACTTCATGCGTACGTTGTGCTTTGTCTGTTACTGCAGTAATTTCTAACTCACTATTTTCATTATCCATATTGTGTGGTATCTGGTGTCTAGAGCAGTGTTTCTCAACCCACAGGTTGCTACCTAAAAGTGGGTCACACAAATGTACAAAAGGTTCACAGCCACCCAAGCCTTGAGCCCCGCCACCAGAGGCTGAAGTCATGAAGGTCACATAAAAATCATGGAACCAGTGACCTCCATGACCTAGCCTTACCAATTAGCCAATCGAATGCAAGGTGGGAAGAGTTATGGGAAAAGAGTGCTTAGTAGAGTTTCAAGTGAAGAGTGTGTGTTTTAATCACAAAGTGAGTCTTTAGTTAGTGAAATGGATACATTTTTAAACTGTCCTGTTGCAACTGCAAGTACCAACGATAGTAGGAATTCATCACAACCTGAGAAGAAAAGTAATTGTAGGTACGACCCTGCTTACTTAAAGTTTGGGTTTTCATTTATCGTGGACCGAAATGGTGAACACAGGCCAGAGTGTGTCATCTGCGGTGAACTGTTAACAAATTAAAGCCTAAAACCATCACATTTATGTAGACATTTGGAGACAAAGCAGTCTAGCTATAAAGACACGCCTCTTGATTTTTTTAAACGAAAAAGCCAAATGGAAATGTCAAAAAAAACATCAACATGTATTTACTGTCCGTGAGCAAAGACTGCATGCCTCTGACCTTGTTGCACACCGCATTGCAAAAAAGCTCACACTGTCGCTGAGGAGTTAATTTTACCTTCTGCTATCAACATATGCACTAAATTGTTGGGCGAGTCAGTGGCAAAACAAATTAAAAGCAATCTCTCTCTCTCCAACAATAAAATATGGAGAAGAATCTGTGATATAGTTCAGAATACACCAAACTGCAAACAACTGATCGTCTTTCAGTAAGCGACTGTTTTGCTTTACAATTAGATGAATCTATAGATGTATCAAACCATGCTATCTTGCTGGTTTATGTGAGGCATGCATGGAAAAGTGATTTGCAAGAACAGTACTTGTTTAGTGCGGATTTGCCTATTTCTACTACTACTGCTGATATATTTGTTACACTGGATAATTACTGTGAGTCGGCAGGATTAAGCTGGTTGAAGTATGTTGGTGTTACAACCGATGACGGAAACATTCAGTAGTTGCTCTAAGAATCCTTTTGAAAGAACCCAATGCAACGTGGAACTACTGTTTCCTGCACAGGGAGGCATTAGCAGCTAAAGACAAGGCACCTGAGCTTCACGAAACTCTTAAAAATGCTGTAAAAATAGTGAATTACATCAAACAAAATGCCAAGAATTCATTATGCTTTCACGTCTTCTGTCAGAAAATGGGCAGTACACATGTACATCTGCTTTACCATGCTGAGGTTTGCTGGCTGTCCCATGGCAAAGTGTTGTCTCATGTATATAAACTTAAAAATGAGTTGGCAGATTTTCTTGAAGCAAAAAGTCTCACCTGGCAGAGCACTTCAGTAACAACAAATGGGTTGTTTGTGCTGCATATCTGGCAGATATATTCGATCACCTGAATGATTTGAATCTGTCTTTGTAGGGCAGAGGGCACAACTGCTTTGAGCTAACTGACAAAATTGCTGCATTAAAAAAAAAAACCAACCCTCTCTCTGTGGAACGACCATGTTTCAAATGATAGGATGGACATGTTTCGTAACACATATCCAGAAACAAAAAATTTGAAAGATTTCACTAGCCAGGAAGCACGGAAGAAAACGATCAGTAGTCATTTAACTAAATTGCACACAAGATTCTGCAATTACTTTCCAGACGAACAACTTAAGGGCAAAGAATGGATACGGGATCCATTTGGAGTTGTGTTGAAAAACATGACTCTACCTAAGGAGGAAGAATCTCAGCTGGTCGAGTTATCTTGCATTCGCAGTCTAGAGAGAAAATAAACTGAAATGAGCATTCCCCAATTTTGGCGCAGTGCTGCTGCTGGAGAATGGCCTGCTCTTGTTTGCCATGCAATGAGTGTCATTTTGCCTTTCAGTACAACATAGTTGTGCGAAACTGGATTCTCTGCCTTGACTCAACTGAAGAATAAAAGCAGGAGTAGACTGGATGTTGAACACAACCTTCAGATTGTGCTGACTAAAATTACGCCCAACTTCGATAAACTTGTCAAAGAGAAGCAAGCTCAGGTTTCTCATTAAGTGGAACCTACGATTTATTATACTTTAATGTGTTCCTGTTAATGTTGATTTCTGCCTTTAACTTTCTGGATATTGAGCTGTTTTCACTTATTATTACTATTATTGTTGTTATTATTGTTGTTGCTGCTACATATAGTGCATGACAAGTATTTGGGGGGCAAAATACGTGTGTTTTCTACTTTCTATTTACTGGAGTGGGACTGGCCATCAATGTTTACAAATGGGTCCTGGTCCAAAAAAGGTTGAGAACCACTGGTCTAGAGCACACTGAAATAATGACAGATTCCTGGTCCCTGCGGTCTGAATTTGAGTAAGTGTATCTGATTCACCATATTTTGAATATTGTAAAGACAAGAAATATTAATAAAGTACTTTCCGTTTCATAAACGAAGTAATAAATGGAGTTTGAGACTTCCCTTTCCCCTCCCAAAAAGAGAGGCTGTTTGCAAACAACACAAATGTTAAATTACTTTGAAACGTTAGACAGAAGAGAAATATGCACCTTATAACAATATCAAACTCATTCAGCACATGGCCTAGCTCCAATCCATGAAGTATTCCACCACTTCCTACAACAACACAACGCTTACAGTGTTTTGATTTCAAGTTCTCTGGCAAGTCATGCTCAGGTAAGAGTTTTAAGAGGTTCTGAAGTTTATGAGAGTTCTTGTGAAATCCAAACGGAGGTTTGTATTTAAACACATCTTCATGCCTGAATATATCTTCCGTTACAAAGGGAAATATGTTCGCGCTGTACTTCTCAGCAAATAATCTGTCCATCTCCTTCTTCACAAAAGAAGGTCGACATTCTCCTTGCTGTATGAGTTTGGCATATTTTTGTGCTCTCTGAAACAAGACGGTATATGAAATTTAAGTCACACAAGCTAGTACATTTCAGTATTACAAATATACCATATCTTGTCTGAAGCAACCTCCCAGGAGGCCAACAGACATCCATAAATTAGCAGGTGTAGGTTTTAGAAAGATAAACCAAGCTGAACCACCAACTGTGGGAAATTTAAAACTAGTCAGTTAAAACAAGAAGCTACCTGTTTGTGGTGTTATCGTGAGTGCAGATTTCAGAGTATAACTTTTACATCCTTCAGGTGGAAGATTTCTTTAGGAGTAAGTTAGAGTGCAGGTGCAGTCAGAAAAATTACTATGTAAAAATGGTATCTTTTTACAAAGTTCGTCTGCTTCCTGCACATTTTCAAGCAATCACTGGTTATTTTTGTTCATGGCCAATACAGCTATGGGAAAGGAAGATGGTCATCCATCAATAACAAATTTGTCAGCTAAATTTTTATTGCAGAAACTGTACTACCAGAGACACGTAAACTGGAAAGAAAAACTCTGTCACATCCAAGACAGGACTTGCAGCATTTTGACTTGTGAACTGATTTTAATCTAGATGTTTACGGTCATTTAAAAAAAAATCCCACTATAACCATGCTTAAAATGTTCACCCAGAAGTGGAGGGTCTCAAGTTCTCCTTAAAATGAATATGAAGTACCAATATAAAAACCTACAGTACTAGCTTTCAGCTGAATCTTCCCCTGCCAAATAAATGATGATCTGTCTCTTTGAAACAAGATCCTCCTGCACATTTTTAGAGAGTAGAACCTACAAATTGCGGTCTGGGAATCTGTACAAGGAGGAAGCTTTAGTACAGTTCAAAGGCAAAGATGCCATTTTACCACCGCTCAACAAATTAGAGGATTTATCATAAAAACAAGAACAAAATGGAAAGGTGGGAGGAACAGAGGCAAGTAGAAAACAAAGAGATATGTTTGTGTGATATATGTGGGAGAGTCAAAAATGCAAGCCTGATGTTAAGATTACAGAAAAAGGGGAACAAAGGAGAATGGGAAAAGGGGAGGATTTTTTTTTAATTGCAATTACAAGAACTCCACAGATGTGCAGAACAGACCCTACAGGTACCAAAAAATGTTTAAACAGGCCCTGGTGTTTTAGAATTCCAAGCAGATATTTAGAATATCTAATTCTTCCTTCTTTCCCAACACAGGGTGAAAATCAGCAACTTTGTGTTACAGTGTAATAGCAAGCATAATGTTTCAGTTTTTAGAACAACTCTCAAGCCTTCTCACTCTCCAGTGCAGCACTACAGAAGCTGTTTTTTAAGTCTGACAAATCATCCCATTCTGCAACTTCCAGCACGGTCAAAAGCATTCCTTGCATGCAACTGGCAAAATAATCAGGCCACAGAATTCCACGTACATATCTAAGTCCCTTTTTTTTTTCCTTGCAACCTTCCACTGTGTTAATGCAGTCAAACTTTTTCAAACTATGTATCATATCTGTGACGACAAATGTTAAACCATTGTTTTCTTCCTCCTTCAATTTTATTCCTAAAACTCTATAATTTTCTCTGTGTAAGTCTCACTGCCTACACAAGCATAAGAATTGAAAACCTCAGCCTCTCAGTGCAGGTAATGGAGCATACAGAAAGGTAAATTCATCTGCCTTCATTGCAGGACTTCAGCTTACAACTCCATCACTTCAGGTCCTGCAGTGAACTTTCCAACTCTACACAACACATCAGTAACATTTGCTAGATACAGATAAAGAATAGCAAACCTTTACACGTTCAGGATCCACATAGTGCATTTTCTTCATGTCACATTCTTCAGGGCCAAAACTTAACTTGAGGATATAAAGGAAGCACACCACGACTGCAAACAGTGTAACACGTCTAAAACGAACAAGAGCCATTGATTACTTTTAGGGCAGTAGGCCACTGCCAACAGTGGAGTTATTTCTGAACTACTCCTTTGTGAAGCTGATAAAATGTGAGCGAGTTCAAAAAAAAAAATGTAAAAAAGCACATTTAAGTGCAACCCACAGTGAGACACTGCACAGTCCTAATGCTGTAAACCACATTCTTCCTCACCCTTTTGCTAAATCTCTCTCATCAAAGCTTTTTGCACTAAAGTGGATCAATGCTGTAGTATGGAGACTGGTGCTCAAGGATGCTTTCGCTTTGTAGCGTGGTTCTGCACTGGTATCGGTTACTTTAAACTAAATGACCTTGATGTGTCCTGCATCAAATTTGACTACATCAACAGGCTGCTCTCTGTACATTTTGGGACTACAATAAAGTGCTTTTCGATTTCTTTAAAAAGAATAGTTTTACTTCACTCTTAAAAATGGCCAAAACAAACATTAATCATGTAAAGAGTGCAGTTGCAAACTGGGTTTTCAGTATCAAAAATACTTAAATGTTTTTGGTGCTGAAAACCCAATTTGAAAACTTCAGAGCCTAAAATCCCAAACCACCACTTAGGTGCTGCCAAATCTATTTTGGGTTACTTGGAAGGCCAGAATGCAGGATTTATAATCCCAAATTTAAAAAGACACCCAGACACCCAACTTTCCGCCCTATATTAAAAAGCCAGCATTCCTAGAATCATTTTAATACAGGTTTTCCTCAGTGGTTTGAGCATGGTAAAGGGCTATGTGAATGTTGAGTATTATTACTGGGAACTACTATCTGAATAACATAAGTAATAAGAGCTACCAGTCAGCTGAGCGCTGTTACCTTAGATGGAGTGTTATAGTTAGGGCCCTACCAAATTCAGTCATAAGATTTTAAAAAATCGTAAATTTCATTATTTCAGCTATTAAAATCTGAAATTTTACAATGTTGTAATTTTAGGCAGGGGTGGCTCTATGTTTTTTTGCCACCCCAAGCACGGCAGTCAGGCGGCCTTCGGTGGCATGCCTGTGGGCAGTCGGCGGCACGCGGATTCGGCGGCGTTTCTGTGGGTGATCTGCTGGTCCCACGCTGTTGGCGTACTCGCCACCAAATTGCCACCGAAGCCGCGGGACCGGCTGACCTCCCACAGGCACACTGCCGAAGGCCGCCTGTCTGCCTCCCTCACAGCGACCGGCCCAGGCACGTGCTTGGTGCGCTGATGCCTGAAACCGCCCCTGATTTTAGGGCTCCTGACCAATAAAGGAGTTGTGGGGGGCGTTGCAAGGTTATTGCAGGGGGGGCGTTGCGGTACTGCTAACCTTACTTCTGCGCTGCTGCTGGCAGTGGCACTACTTCAGAGTTGGGCAGCTGGAGAGTGGCAGCTGCTGGCTGGGAGCCCAGTGCTGAAGGCAGAGCCACCGCCAGTAGCAGCGCAGAAGTAAGGATGGCATGGTATGGTATTGCCACCCTTACTTCTGTGCTGCTGCCTGGCCCTCAGGCAGAAGCTGCCACTATCCAGCCACCCAGCTCTGAAGGTAGCAGCGCAGAAGTAAGGGTGGCCTGGTATGGTACTGTCCCCCTTACTTTTGTGCTGCTGCTGGCAGGGTGCCACCTTCAGAGCTGGGTGCCTGGCTAACAGCCACCGCTCTCCAGCTGACCAGATCTGAAGGCAGCAGAGAAGTAAGGGTGGCAATACTGTGACCCCACCCTAAAATAACCTTGTGACCCCTCCTTGCAAATCCCTTTTGGGTCAGGCCCCTCAATTTGAGAAACACTGGTTTTCACTGTGGAAATCTGTACAGTATAGGGTAAAAGCACACTAGAGACCAGATTTCACGGGGGGAGACCAGATTTCACCGTCTGTGACACGTTTTTCATGGCCTCGAATTTGGTAGGGCCCTAGTTATAGTACACTTTAAATATTAATTTGAAAGTATTTTAAATGATAGTTTCTGTCCTCTTATTCCACTACCATCCCTTCCCCACAGACACTAGTCAAAGCAGTACCTTTAATTTGTGACATATGAGAGAGTAATTATAAATTGTTACTATTAAACAGTTACTACTTTATGCTCCCCTGTCCCCCAGTGCTAGTTCCTGTAATGGGAACTACTCCCTAAGAATGCTAATAGACAATGTTTATTAACATTTATTCCCTTGTTCCGAAAGGGATTAAAATAAACTATAAAGAGCAGATGTCTTTTGTGCTGCCAACATATGAAGGCATGTAATTGTCTGGCTTTTAACCTCACAAAGGATGGGATTAAGTATGAGAGAAAGTTACTTACTGTAACTGGAGGTTCTTCGAGACGGGTGGTCCCTACCTGGATTCCAAACACGGGTGCGCATGCGCGCCATGCGCTGGAGCCAGAACTGTTCATAGTGGTATCTGTTGACCCGCACATGCATCAACTGCATGGCACATTCGAGGCTTTAAGAGGCTGTGCCAGCCGACACCCCTCCCAGTTCCCTCGTACCAGGAAGCAAATGCAGCCCGGAGCATAGGAGAAGAAGGGCGGAATTGGAATCCAAATAGGGACCGCACATCTCGAAGAACCTCCAGTTACAGTAAATAACCTTCTCTTCTTCTTCAAGTGATGGTCCCTATGTCAGGATTCCAAACGCGGGAGAATAGCGAGCAGTGGTCAGTATGGAAGCAGGCACAAGAGCTCTTGAGAAGACCAAGTCAGTAGGACAGCGTGACCAGCTGCTGCATCTGTCACCGTCAAGGGGGCAATGGCATAGTGAGAGGAAAAGGTGTGGACAGAGGACCAAGTAGCTGCCCGACGTATCTATTGCCACAGAACGGCCGCAGGAAAAGCCAACAGTGGTGCATACACCCATGTGGAGTGGTCATGCTGCAACAAGAGATCCACTTGGAGAGGCATTGGGAAGAAAGGGTGTAATTCCAACACGCTCCGTGATGGCGATGAAGACCCAGGGGGCCACTCGGAAGTCACGTGTGTGGTGGAGATAAAAAGCTAATGCTCAGCAGACATCAAGGGAGTGTAATACATGCTCCATAGGGGGGCGTGTGGCTTAGGGCAGATGACCGGAAGGTGTGTACTCTTGTTGAAGTGAAAGGAGGAAGTCACCGTGGGCAGGAACTCAGGGTAAAGATGTAAGGAGACCCTGTCTTTGTGGAAGATGGTAAATGGCAGATCCACCATCATGGCGGCCAGTTTGCTGACACGTCATGCGGAGGTGATAGCCACCAAGAAGATCACCTTCATGGAAAGATGGGAGAGGGAGCAAGTGGCGAGGGGTTCGAAGGGTGGCTTGGTGAGTACAGAGAGAACCAGATTCTGAACCCAAGAGGGGATAGGCCTTCGTAGTGGGGGGAAAAGCACTGAGAAGGCTGCAGAGGAAGCGGGAGGTCGTCAGATGGGTGAAGACGGAGAAGCCATCCACAGGAGGAAGAAAGGCACTGAGTGCCTCCAGGTGGATGCAGACGGAGGAGCGAGCAAGGCCTGATTGGCAGAGATGATGGAGGTAGTCCAGAAGGACAGGAAAGGAGACAGAGTCTGGAGAGAAGTGATGGCCCTGCGCCCATGCAATAAAGCGGTGCCACTTCGCTTGATAGCAGATTCGACTGGATTGGTACCTGCTATGAGTGAGGATGTCTTGGATGGGGTCGGAACAAGCCCGGTCTACATGCGAGCCCCATCCAAAAACCAGGCTGTGAGGTGCAGAGGGCTCGGGTTGGAGTGCTGCAGCCAGCCATGCACCTGCATTAGGAGACCCGGGAGGGTCAGAAGAGGAATCGGAGGGCAAGCACAGATTGGTGTACCAATACTGGTGAAGTCAGGAGAGAGCTACGAGGATAACCGTCACTCAGTCCTTCCACACTTTGCGCAGGACTTGGGGAAGGAGGGGAATGGGTGGGAAGGCGTAGTGGAGATTCGAGGTCCAGGGAATGAGAAGGGCGGTCTGTGACGTTGCACTCTATATGATTTTATAAAAATATACTACTAAGTAAATATAATGTAACTAAAATATGCCTCATGAAAAGGTCTCTTGTAAGATATTATTACAAAGCTTATAATCTATTGAGTGTGGTCATCTTATTTGTATAAATGTATCATTCTTGTATCTGAAACTAGAAATATGAAATATAACTGAGGGCCTATTGTAATTATGCAAAGTGTGGGCCATTAATGGTGGTTTGAAATTTTGATGGCTCCCATCAACCAGGACAATTGACTGTGGATTGCTCTGTTTGCAGGCAAGCCTTCCTGTGAGTCAGGCTGGGAGGAATGAAGGCTTGGGTGACATGAAGGTCTTACAGTGACATGTGATCATGTCACCTAAACTAAAATCCATCTTTAACCTAGTGCTTTTTCATTGGGGGGTGTGGGTGGGGGTGAGGGTTGGGAACCCAGAGGGACAAAGGATTCCCGCCTTATTCAAAAGATATATAAATGGGTGAAACAGAACAAAGAGGGGAGCCATCATGAGAAATCCCCTAGCTACCACCTGAGCTGGAACAAGAACTGTACCAGAATTGTGCCAAGGCCTGGAAGGTGTCCAGTCTGAGGAAAAAAACTTACTGAAGCATCTCTGAGGGTGAGATTATCTGTATTCAGTTTGATTAAACATAGATTTGCGTGTTTTATTTAATTTTGCTTGGTGACTTACTTTGTTCTGTCTGTTACTACTTGGAACCACTTAAATCCTACTTTCTGTATTTAATAAAATCATTTTTTACTTATTAATTAACCCAGAGTATGTATTAATACCTGGGGGACAAACAGCTGTGCATCTCTCTCTATCAGTGTTATAGAGGGCAAACAATTTATAAGTTTACCTTGTATAAGCATTATACAGGGTAAAATGGATTTAATTGGGTTTAGACCCCATTGGGAGTTGGGCATCTGAGTGTTAAAGACAAGAACACTTCTGTTAGCTGCTTGCAGGTAAGCCTACAGCTGTTAGGGGACGTGATTCAGACCTGGGTCTGGGTTTGCAGCAGGCTCGAGGGTCTGGCTCAAACCGGG